GGCATGTGCCCTGACCGGGAATGGAACCGCGATCTCCTGGATCCTAGGTCGATGCTCAACCGCTGCGCCACGCCCAACTGGGCTAACTTAAATTTTTTAAAAAGTCTCTCTCTCTCTACTTTGTTAAGAACAGACTGAAGGGGATGGAGCATGAGAGAAGCAGTTAAGCGGTTACTACTCAGCTACAGGTGAGAGACAATTGTGGCTTGGGAGCGTGGTAATAGTGGAGATAATGAGGTCTATTTATGGGTAGATTTTAAAGACATAAAATGATGTTGCCATTAAGTGAGATGGAGGTGATATGGAAGGTGCAGAGCTGTTTTTTGGAGGGGGGGAATCAAGAGTTCAGTTTTGGACAAGTCAAGTTAGACATACCAGTGGTGATGTCAAATAGGCATCTGTATATATGGGTGGAGTTAGAAGGGAGGTATGAGCTAGATTTGTAAATCTGTAAGTTAGTAGTGTATAGGTGGTTTTAAAGCATTGAGAGTGGAAAGAATTACCAAGTGAATGTGGACAGAAAAGACTAGAGGCCTAAGGTCTAACCCAGGGGCATTCTTATATTAAGGAGTCAGAAGATGGGACATTAGCAATCCTCAGGAGACTGAGAAAGAATGGGTAGCGCAGTTAGAGGAAAATCAGGAAGGTGCAATGTTCTGAAAGGCAAGTGGAGTGTTCAAGCAGGTGGCAGTCACCGATTGTGTCAAATGCCAATGAGAGAACAACCAGCAAATAAGTTAACCACCAAATGATGGAAATTTGCAACATGGAAGGCACTGGCAACACTGACGGGAAGAAGTAATTCAGGTAAAATGGTGAGGTTAAAATAAAGTGAGACAAAAGTGAGTTCAAGTGAAAGTAGGAGGAGAAATTACAGAGAGCAAGTACAGACAACTCATACTTTAAAACTGCTATTTTTCTTGTTCTTTTGTTTGGCCAAGTTTATGGCTAAATTTCATATGAAATATATGTATGACAACAGGACTCCACTACAGCCAGAGGCAAAGAAAAATCACAGAAGGGGGAAAATGTTTCCTGTAATGTTGAAGGAAAAGGTGTTCAGGTTCATTAGCATCTTTGGGTTGACAACACATCTACCATCAGGCAAATTTTGTTTCAACACAAGATGACCACAAGAAATGTTCCCAAAGACTAGACATGGAACAAAGTTACACTATCAACAACCTGTCTTATGCAAGCAGAGTAGTACTGTAACAAAGGGACACAGGGGGGGGTACAGTCTCCTGTCACGAGAGAGAGAGAGAGAGAGAGAGAGAGAGAGAAGAAAGATAAAAGCCAATGTGGTTCCTTGAAATGTGCCATAAAATGCACTTCTGACCCACAGTTATATCTGTGGGTCATGGTCAGGTTACAAGAAACATAACAACATCAGGATAATAACTACAAATGTTCTGCTTCTAGGGTTTTCTTTTCTTTTGCACTAGTTCGCTAGCACTTTAATTGGGAACTCTGAAAACCACTAAGTGTTCTTCTGAATATGTGGCTTCTGGGCTGAAACCTCAGCAATTCTGACTGTATGCCTCAGTAATAGAAGTAAATACTGTTACTAAACTATATCAGAACATACATTAGTAGGAAGGACACTGAATTAAATACAATTTTCCAAAAGTCACTATAACAAAGATCTCACACAGACTCAAAACACAAACACTCAAAACACAAACTCTGTGGATTACAAATTTAAACAAATTAGTATGTCTGCATGAACCCACAAATAAGCATACGTGACAATCTAAATGATCAGTCTAGATGTTTTTTAAGTGGCAATTTTTACAAATAAAATATTACTATCAAAATTCTCAAAACTTTATGTATGTTTAAATGATGAGGATATTATGCTATTTCTATGAAGAGTATTACAGAAACCTTAGTTCTTTCATGTTCTCAGTCTTAAATATAAATAAAATATGAGTACCAACTAACTCATGCCATTAGGAAGGCTACTATAAAAAAAAACAAAGTAGCAAGTGTTGGTGAGGATATAGAGAAATTAAAACCCATATGCACTGCACAAAACAGTATAGAGTTCCTCAAAAAATTAAAAAAATACAATTGCTTATACGATCCAGCCGTTCCACTTCTAGGTATATACACAAAATAATTGAAAGCAGGGTCTCAAAAAGAGACATGAATACCAGTGTTCATACTGGCATTATTTGCAATAGCTAAAATGTGAAGCAACTCAAGTATTTGTTGACAGATGAATAGATAATCCAAAGGTAATCTATGCATACAATGCAATTTATTAAGCCTAAAAAGGAAATTCTAATGAACCTTGAGGATATTATGTATGCTTAGTGAAATAAACCAGTCACAAAAAGACAAATACTGTATGATACCCCTTATATAAGGTACTCAGAGAGTAGTCAAAATCAGAAACAGAAAGGAGAACGGTGGTTATCAGAGTCTGGAGGAAAAGAGAGAATGAGGAGTTCCTGCCATTTTAATGGGTACCAAGCTGCAGTTTCACAAGATGAAAAGAATTCTGGAGATGGATGCTGGTGATGGTAGCACATTATGAATACACTTAATACCATTAAACACTGTACCTTTCAAAATGGTTAAGATGGTTAAATTTTATACTTATGTGTATTTTACCACAATAAAAAAAAAATTAGAAAAAGTAATTTTAAAATGAGTTGATGAGAAGACATAGAGTTTAACCCTGAATATTCTAGCAGCTGACATCATGAAAAGAGTTACTCTATCAGGGTCTTATAACAGTTAACATATAGTTTGGGTTTCAAAAAGAAACTACATATGGAAATATGGAAAAAACACACACACATAATGGGACAAAAAAATTAAACACACAAAAAAATTCCTAGCTCAGCTAAAAGCAATCCTTGTTGAATATTTAATCTTCCTCCCTTCTCCTGAAAAGGGGCTAAAGGCATAACAGACACCTATGCTTTAAAGCCTAGGCTAACAGGTCATACCTGATGTCCACTCGAAGTTTAGGGTAATACTGAGACACATATTTTCTGATGAGACTGTAGGAAGCTTCTTTAGGTTCACAAAGGCGAGTAAAGGCCAGTGGGAGGATATCCTCCAATTTTACTTGTGGTTCTGGATCCACTGCAGAGCTCCTGTTCTGAAATGCAGTATCAAAAATTATCACCATATACAGCTTTCTGTTCAAATGCTTCTACATTCAACTCAAACGCTTTTCTAAGTTGGCTGCCAAATCAACTAACCAATACAAAATTATCACTTCTTTTCATATTCAAACAAATCATATCACAGTGGTATAATGTTACTTGTGGTATAATGTGGCAATTTAAGATACACATTTCAGATTGAGTTAAAAATGCATATAAATAAAAAAGAATGGCAGACTTTACTTAAAGGTCTTAATTCATTTTTAGCTTCCAGTAACAAACAATGAAAAGGGATCATGGAGCACCAAAAAGCACTGCACAAAAGTTCATTTTGAAAGTGTTTGCCAGTTTTATGAAAAAAGTACAAAAATTTTCAGAGTTGTAGAAACAGAGATGTAGAGGAATATTCACGATTTCAATTACTGACACAGATGAAATAGTTCATTTTATTTATTTATTTCATTTTATTACTGTATACTTTCCAGTGAAATTATGTATCTTGGGGAGGAGAGTATTTACCAAAAAAAGAGAAGAAAAACTGGCTCTGGGTATAGTTTTGGGGTATAATATTGAGCAAAAATGTGCTTGTTTGCCTCTGGTGGTTTAAAAGGTCATTCACAAAAAGTAGGATAATTTCATAATTTAACAGGGCAGTGAAGTCCATAGACTCTGGGGTTGGAGTGCCTGGATGTGCTTTATTCTATTATTCTATTCTATTCTATTCTATTCTATTCTATTCTAGTCTATTCTAGTCTATTCTAGTCTATTCTAGTCTATTCTAGTCTATTCTAGTCTATTCTAGTCTCTAGTCTCTAGTCTCTAGTCTCTAGTCTAGTCTAGTCTAGTCTAGTCTAGTCTAGTCTATNCTGGATGTGCTTTATTCTATTATTCTATTCTATTCTATTCTATTCTAGTCTAGTCTAGTCTAGTCTAGTCTAGTCTAATCTATTCTTCTATTCTTTCACTAGCTAGGCAATAATAAGCAAATTACCTGNCTAGTCTCTAGTCTCTAGTCTCTAGTCTAGTCTAGTCTAGTCTAGTCTAGTCTAGTCTATTCTTCTATTCTTTCACTAGCTAGGCAATAATAAGCAAATTACCTGCAGCCTCTCTGAGCCCTTAGGTAGTAACAGTATCACAGCTTACAAACTGTGGCATAGACTTCTTACCTTTCTGTTTCGGGATTTCTGAGGGCTTTTTCTTGATTTCTGGACCACAACAAAACTTCCGGAAGCACCTTTCCCTTTTACCTAAAGTAAATTACTTTTAGTTGCAATAACCAATATTTTTATTTTAAATTATTCTGGTACTCACATTTATAACTTTATACTAATTAAGCAAATTACAGGAAACAGTAATACAAGAACTAATGTAAAATGCTGTTTAACTCATCAGAGAAAAAACAACAACGGATTAGTCAAAAGACGTGGGACTGAATCCTGTTTATTGTACCATCAAGCTATTCAATACTGCACAACCCTGTAAACTCTCTGAGCTGTTGTTTCCTCATCTATAAAACTAGGGAAGAAGAATGCTATTGCGATATCAGATTAAACAGTCTACTACGAACTTGAAAAAAACATACAAAAGTCCAGTGGAAGGGACAAAATCTCTTGGGGAACATGAGAAAACCTCTTCTTGAAAGGGGGATAGCTAGTTGGCAAAAGTTTACAGCCTAACTGATCTCAGGTCATAATGTTTCCCACAGTTTGCCCATTACAGGTTGTTCCTTAATATGGGAAAGGTTATGCAAGTCATACCACAGATTTCCTTTCCATAATTTACAAAGCACTTTCACAGAACTTTGAAGTTGATTAATCTGAGTTATCTACACCTTAGCTTTACCTACACTACTATGGATATAGCAAGCCAGCTGAAATGCTTCCACCCTATGAACTGAGGGTCAAGCTATGAGGCAAAAACAGGTCACAAACCATATTTTCATAAAGAAAAACACAAAGCCAGTTCATAAACTGTGCTGACATACACTATGATATAGGGCAGGTCTTTGGTTCTAATTATATTGGTTAGATAATCTTTTAATCAATGATTATTTTAAAGGCCACTTAAATAGCAGTTTTACAACATTTTGAGAAAGCTAGAAAGTAAGCTCCACACAGCAGGAATCTGTTTTCCTCACCAATGGACTCCCTCCACAGGACCTGGCAAACAGAAGATGCTCAAAATGTACTGGTGGAATTAAGTACTTGTTTAAAGTTCCCAGAGTTTGAATGCCTGAATGACCCAGAATTCTGTATTAATCGAACTATGTATAACAAACTATGAATAAAAGAAAGGCAGTAAGAGGACTCTGGGAATGCAGTGAACTGGGTCCTTAGAACCATCTTTGCCACTCTCAACCTCTGAAGGTTTAAATAACATAAAGTCCATTCTAGCTTTAGATTTTCATGATTCTAAGCAAAGTAACACAGATTTATGCTTGAAATCAATACTGGCTTTAGTACTAGTCTCAATTTACTCAGGCTTCTCTGATGCCCCTAACAAGCTTTAACAGTTTTAGATACTATAAAGGAAAGGTGAATCTACTTACAAAACTAATTTATAAGAGCAACAAGTGTAGTCACATAAGCAACACTTTAAAAGTAACAAACCTAAGACAAAAGCAATTATTTTTGCTGCTGAAATAATAGGACTCCTTAACCCTGCTTCTTGTATCTTTAGCACAAAGCCCCCAAAGAGAAGCCAATAAAAAGTACGAGCAGCTAGAAAATCATCACATTATCCTATTGTTTCTGCTCTCTAGAATAGTTATAAAAGGTAACTGGCAGTGATTTTGAAACCTAGTCTGGGAATAAAACTAGGTTAAGCTTAAGCATTTCATCACATTATTTTTAACCAAAAAAATGCAAAAAGCCTAAATGTTACTAAATATGGACTTACATGTTGTAATGATCTTATTACCAGTAACTGTTTAATACCTGTTTGATGACACCTCTATTTAATTCTCTTTTCAGTGCTTGTTTAAGGAGGTAGCCCCTTCTCTCCAACTCCAGAGAAGGGTACTTATGGATGATATATTTTCGAATAGCAACAACTGATGCACCACTCTTCTGGAAGCATGCCTAGAAAACAGATTTACCAAATCATATTCATTACTTTAAACTAGCAGCTTTTCATAGACAGAGAACCTAACATGTTTTCAAAATAAATTATTCTGAAAGTGAACTTAATAATGGATGAGAAAAAGGGCAGGAAGGAATGGACGGTATTTCAGGTAAGTTCAGTTCATCATGGCTGTGGAGAAATGAAGAATTAAAATATGTCCTGCAACAATAATTTAAAATTGTTCAAAATACCAGAGAGAAGATACAACATGTGACCAACATTCTGTGTTAATGAAGAACCTCATTCTATTTTAATTCTACATTGACAAGACAAATCTTTAGCATTAAAATGAGGAAAGCAGAACACTGGAATGAGTTATTTTATGGCACGAGTTCTGGTACACCAGGACCAGTGTTTCTTTGCAGGCTTTGTGTGAATGTCAGCAAAGAATATAAGCAACGATACTCTGAATAAATGGCATAAAACTAGATTTACAGGTGGCAAAGTCTTGAGAGTTTTGGAAACAACAGGGCATTAAATTGCAATTTAAAGTGCCCATTTCCATTCTATTTATCTATATTCCATTTAACTAATGCACATGGAAGATTTAAGCAGATCATTCTGTCACAAAGGCAGAGAATTTTTTCAAATGGTTTACATTTTGAAGCACACTTAAATAGCATCTGTTATTTATCTCATGGGCTAGTCCTCCAATTCTGTGTTGTCATTGTCTACACTAAATGTAGCACATACTCATTCCCACTGGATAATGACTTGGTTGAGTGTTATTTTATACACTATGACAATAAAGAAAAAGAACTCACAGACAGATGGACCAGAAAAGATTGTACCACACAAAACAAGCTGTGTGAATATGGGTCCACTTACTTCAAGTAAATGTCTCTGACCTATCACAGCCTACTGTTTACTCCTAATCTTATTAAAAATCAAAGGAAAGAAAATATGCAAAAAAGAACTCTCTGATGTGAAACAATCCCTTGTTCTACCAAACTGACAATGAGATGGAAGAAGGCATCAGGAATCTTCTTAGATTCAGAAAATGGTATCAGTGGTCTAACATCATGATTTGTTACACTGCGTGGAATATGCATGCTATGTAGATATATAAATGCATAATCATATTCAAACTATTTTTTAGGCCTAATTACACTGCTGTAATATTTTAAAATTTCAGTCCCACCCTAGCCAGTTTTGCTCAGTGGTTAGAGCGTTGCCTGTGGACTGAAGGGTCCTGGGCTCGATCCCGGCCAAGGGCAGTACCTCAGTCACAGGCTCCATCCCTGCCCCGGTCGGGGACGAGAGCGAGAGGTAACCGAATGATGTGTCTCTCTCACGTCAATGTCTCTCTCCCCCCTTCCACTCTCTCTGAAAAGCAGTGGTAAAGATGTTCTTGAATGAGGATTAAAAATTATTTTAAATTTCAGTGCCTTCTCTCCCCTGACTGTGACATACTCCTCCAAACCTAGGCTGCGAGGTCATGAGCTGCCCTCCTTACGGGCAGACAACACGAAGGAGAGAGATCTCACTATAGTCAGACTATGTAGAACAAGACAGTTTTCTTAATGAGTTCAGCGCACTCTTGACAAAGTGCAGGGAGCGATTTGAAGGCAAACTCTTTTCCAATCTGTGTCAGTGCTGTCTTCAAATTCTGAGAATCACCACCAGGTTGCTCCTTCCTATATATACCACCCTTGGTTAAACTGAGCTCTCTCTCTCCTCCCAATTCTACCTCAGATCTAAGGACAGGGACCCTGAAATGAAGAAGTCTATGGCTTCTCTTTTATGGCTCCTCTAATCATTTGCTCATGTGAAACAAGGCAAAATTAACCAGAAAAATTTACACAAAAAACAGCAAGGATAGATTAGAAGATAACCTTAAAAATTAAAATAAGAAAACCACACCTTATGATTGCACAAGCTAATGAAAGTCAATGGATTATAGCAAAGTCGTAGCTATGCAAGGAGGATAATTTTGCAAGTATTTTGGAATGGCTGGGTGATGAAGCAAAGCAGTAAGAGGATTTCTTATAACTCAGGTTTGAGAGATAACCACTAACAATATCAGACACAGCTTTGAAAATGGACTTAAGGATAGTATATTTTAAAAAAATAAAAATTCTCAATGCTATTCAGTTATCCTGAGTCACAACTGGATTTCATAAGGGCAAGGGCCCTGTCTCTCCTATTCTATGCTGTATCACTTGTATAGTTGCCTGACACAGAGAAGTTAGCTCTTAAACATTTGTTGAATAATCTGTTAAGCTTCAAATAAAAACTATACTCAACCAGTTAAACTGTGTAAAAAAAAATCTAAAGGTAAGTTTATAAAACTTGCTATAATAAATCTGAATTAAAAAAATTAACAGGGTTCATCAAATATAATTGCATTATAAAAAAAAAATAAACTTCATAATGGCTTTCTTCTACTTAAATCTCTTTTAGGAAGCAGAGCAAGATTTCTGATGCCTGGACAGGCATATGCCATTTTCAAATAAGCAAAAGATAAACAGAATAAACCTAAAATAAACTGCTTGAAGTAAAAACTTGCCTTAATGGCCTCAGTCAGGATTGCATCCATCTTGGGACGTGGGGAGGAAGCCATCGGTGTTTGTTTCTGGGCCCTTGCTAGCTGGCTGGCAGAAAGGGTAGCCCAGGAAGGTATTGTTTTTTTCACTTTCTTCTCCTTTTCTTTAGACTGATCTTTCTCACTTTAAAACAAAGAATTGTTATTGTGCAAAATAAACTCTCCAGAAAGAGGCATAAAGTCAGAAAAAGACCAGAAAGGGATAAAAATTGTGTTTTAATTTACTTCTACATTAAGGCAACACATAAAATAAGCAAAATTTTACTAAATTAAAACATTAAAAAAAAAAAAAAAAGGGTACTATAGCCCTGGCTGGTGTGGCTCCATGGTTAGAGGGTTGGCCCACGCACCAAAAAGTCATGGGTTCAATCCCTGGCTCTGGTTGGGGTGCATGTGGGAGGCAATCAATTAACCAACTGATTAACCGCCTCCCCCCGCCACTCTCTCTAAAAATCAATGGAAAAATATACTTGGGTGAGGATTAAAAAAAAAAAAAAAGGGTAGCATAAATGAACCAAAAAGATGTTTTCTCTTAGGTGTAGGAGAGAGGAGTCCTATAAATTAGATCCAGTAAAGAGTGCCAATACATATATGAAATCAGAATTTTTAAATGTATTCCAACTACAACAGATGCAATTTAATACAGTGGAAAGAACTCAAAGCTCTGAAATCAGAGAGCTTGGGTTTCAGTTTTAGCCTCAACACTTACTAGCTATATGAACTTAGCAAGTGACCTGAGTCTCAGTCTCCTCAGCTGTAAAACTGTAACATAACACCAAACACTTCATAAGGTTGTTACAAGAATTACGAGATTATGTTTATAACACAATTTTGTGAGCCATAAAGTATTACATGATTTTTATTCTATGTAATAATAACAGCACTACATGCACCTAAAATACAGGGAAGCTGTTAAAAATTCTACAGATTTTATGTATACCTATGAAACTGGGATAAAGGATTCCCTGAGGATTACCACTAGAAGATATAGATATTCCTAAATTCTTCTTCTTTTTATTGATTTTAGAGAGAGGAAGGGAGACGGAAAGAAAAACATCAATGTGAGAGCAAAACATTAGTTGCCTCCTCCAGGGCCCCAGCAGGGATCAAGCCCACAACCCAGGCATGTGCCATGACCAGGAACAGAACCTGCAACCTTTGGGTGCACAGGATGACACCCAACCAGCTGAGCCACACTGGCCAGGGCAAGTTATTCTTTTCTTTAAAAAGTAATTCTTAACTGTTCTGACCAATTATTAAAAGAATAAAATGAATGCTACCAGCTGTCCTACAAACAAAATTGTTTTAGTTAAAAAAGAATTGCCACTACACTGTAGAGATTATCACTAGTACTTTGTTTTCAGATTCTCAGTCACCATCCAATTGAATACTTCACCAAACACATACAGTTTTAGATCATTCTAGCGATGACTTGATAGATTAATGTTTTCTAATATAAGCATATAAAAACAACTCACTCCTGGCACAGAGGCAGTAATAAAATGGTGAAGTGTCTCCCAGGTCAGATTTTTATAGTCCTGTTTCGTTTGAAATTATGGCAATGCTTAAAATATCAGACACTCCCACAGTGAATTCTAAGCACAAAAACACCCCCCAAAGCCAAAAGGAATGAATTTTGGATTATCCAAACCATTGTGATAACTATGACACATTCTAATAGGCCATACAACTACATAATAAACCTATGTCAAATGTAATTCTAAAAAGTAAAACAAAACAGCAAAAATCCAGCATAAACCAGTGTTAGAACACTTTACAACAATCTTGTCTACAGTCCTTTTACGTTGCCTTTAATTATGTACAGCAGGAAGGTGCGACTCCTTACTCCTTTTTGGTTTCCTCGGAGGACTTGTTTTCCTCCTTCTCTTCATTCTCAGGTTCCCCCTTTGGCTGCTCTGTCTCACTAGATGTCGCAGGTGGAGTTTCATTCTCCTGTTCTTCTACAGTGGAGACAGATTCCTCTGAACTTATGTCCGGTTCTAAAAAATCAGGTGAGCAGAATTGCAGCAAGTAGATATATTAGAGTCTGAGTCAATAAAAGGGTAAATGTTTACCTTATTAAACAGATAACCCAAATGTTCAGATAAAGATGGATTCTAACATGAACAAATGACTGAGTGCAGTTTCTTTCCGTTTATGTCACTCGAGCTGCCTATGCAAGGAGGCGTTTACCTAGAGAGCTGTGTGAGAAAGGATGCAGACCAGGAAATTACACAGGAAGGAAACTCATTTTACCCCAAATCAAGTATCTCCATCACTCTACTCTGCAATATTAATGATGAGACTCATAAGAAATTAGCCATTTCAAATTTAACAAATTCTAGTAAGGGAATAACAGAATTAACATGTATTTTCCAAGAGAAATGACTGAGGCAAGACCAGAAACTGGAGAGGGAATACTGAGGTATGCAGCTATTTGCCTGTCTTCTTAACATGTCTCTTTGAGCAGCTACTATAAAATACAGAACCCCAGGAAATAGTTAAGCAGGGACTTCAAAGAAAGGACTCCAGCACTGGCCCATGTGGCTCGGCTGGGTGGCGTCCTGTGCACCAAAATGTCATAGGTTCAATTCCTGCTCAGGGAATATGCCTGGTTGTGCACTCGCTCCTGGGTAGGGGGTGCGCAGGAGGCAGCCCATCTATGTTTCGCCCTCACACCGATGTTTCTCTTTCTCTCTCCCTCTCCTTTCCATTCTCTAAAAATCAATAATTTTTTTAAAAAAAAAAAAGAAAGAAAAGGACTCCGGTGGCAAAAAATAAAAATATGTTTGAAGAGTTTGGTCACTTAGATTATGTAAATTACTGGCATAATGACGAAGACATCCTTGTGGCCTTCAACATAAATAAGAGAATTTCTAAAAATGCCACTTCCTTCTTATAACCAAGTCACATATGTACAATTCTAAAGGAATTTCTAGGTTCTCAACAAATTAAATTTCTAAACCATAAATTTCAGGATGGTCAACTACCATTTGTAAATTTCATCCTGGATTATGCTCTCCAACCAGATTTGCATGTAAATAGAAAATCTTCCCATATATGTTTAACCAAAATTGAGGTTTCTGAGACAGAGACACTGGGATTCAAGTTTAGACTCTGTAACTTTCCAGCTTGATATCTTAGGGCATTTTCTTTTGACATCTCCAAGTCTCAGTAACCTTACCTCAAAGAGCTTTTATGAGGATTATATCAAATGCTTTAAGGGAAGCTTGTAGGCTAGCACTTGTACTACGTGGGTGATTCCCAGCCTCCTTTGGCCTCCTCTGAGGCTTCTAGAACTGTTTCACAAAGTAGCAAGGCTTGAACTTCATTATAACAATGGTAGCTGGTGATACAGACAACTGCAAGATATATTTTTTTTATCCGATTATCTCTTACTGTCCCTCGCCCCAACAATTTGACCTAAATGACTGTGAGAATAAGAACTTACTATTAGTTAGTCATATGTTTATTTATTTATATATTGCCTTATTCCAAAAAGTATGAAAAGCTAAGAATGGTTTACTGGGCTTTACTGTAGTAATAGAGCTATAAATTTAATTTCACAATATTTTCTCAAGAATAATTGCTAAATAGTGGCTTAATAAAGGTTCACTCAATAGACATTGAGTATGTATAACGTGTAAGACATTGTTTCCAAATTATTAAACTATTATGTGTGCCTCTGTGTGGAATGTAGGATTTGTACAATTTAAAATATAAGTCTAATTAGTTTCATGTACAAAATACTATAATGGGGTAGAGAGAAGATTAAACAAACATACAACTTGTGTGAAGTGACTTGCTGATCCTTTATAAATTCTTGGTTGACCTTTCTAATACCTTGTACCAGGAACCCTCTGGCCTGTATTTTGAAAACTGATGTTATTAGTAATTTAGTAGCTGAATAACAAATGTGAATTTGGCTGTTAAACAAATGTGAATCAAGACAAAAGTGGCTTATCTCAGTGCTGGAAAAAATAACCTATCTTCAACTCACCAGCACCTATTATTTTAATATGCTGATTCCCATGTCACCTAATGCCTTATGTCAGGGCACACAAATTGCTTATAATATTAATATGAGGATTTTGAGACAAAATGCTGCCTTAGCTTTAAAAGATAACCCTGATGAACCAAGGATAAAGGCAATAAGGGTGCATATATTTTTAATTCTTAATCTCTGCTGGTCAGCAAATACTTGGTTCTAATAGCCATGACCAGGACAGCACCGTGCAGTCACCCTGGAAAGCCCGAGATAAAGTGCAAGAGAATAGAAAGGAAAACAAATGAGGGCCCTGGCCTGGTAGCTTGGCTGAATATAGTAGTCCCAATAGGCCAAGGCTGCGAGTTCGGTCCCCAGTCAGGGTACATACAAAAATCAACCAATGAATGCAGAACAGTGGAACAAATCAATGTTTTTCATTCTCTCCCCCCCCTTTCCTCTCTCTCTCTCTCTCTCTCAAATTAATAAAATACAAACAACAACAATAGAAAGGAGAAGCAAGCAAAGAAAAGGGGAAAGGAGAGGTGGTCAGAGGCCACAAAGGAAGGAGCAAGTTGAAAGCCTTATGTTTTTCTCAATTCATTAAGTTCCCATCTCTGGCCAACCTTCTCTCCGCCAATATCAAAGTTAGAGACCAGTGTCTGATCACCCACTTGCTCCCTTAAGGCCTCCTGATGATTTCTGGGGGGCTCTCCACTGTCCATCCTGAAGACCCAAGTCCTCTGTTCTTCGTCTTCATCCCCATGCACTGTATGCCCAGGAGCTATTCTCCGCCTGTTCCTGTTCTCTCCAACCACTTTTCTGTTTTTAATTCCAAGAACATGAGATTGTCACCTTCCAAAAATCTTTTAGAGACAAGATGAAGCCCTTATTTTGCCTGCATGGTCTGGAAATGACATACCAACAGGTACCAATTCTCTCTTTAAATGTTTCCACAAAACACTTAATTATGGGGGAAAAAAATAAGTTCAAGGGAATTTATGGAATACTCCAAACTAGAGTAAAGCTTTCGTCTTGTGAAGTTGTTCACTGCTTTACTTTACCTGGCTTTGCTTCCTCCCCTTCAGCAGGCTTGCTTTTGGGAGGAGTTTCCCGGGTAGAATTCACAGTTCGGCGAATCGGCATGGCGCTATCTTCTACCTTCTAAGAAAAAAGACAATATTAAAAAAATTCTCTTTTCTCTTTCCCAAGGGGCCTAACTGGGTGACAGAGATAGTGAATTCTAAGTCTACTCCAGGATCTGATGTAAATTACTTTTAACAAGTTTTTACGAAGTGATATACGATTTTTAAGAAGCACTTTTCAAAATACTTTCTTTTAAAAAGCAAGAATTTCAAAGGGAAACAAATAATTATACTTGATTTAGAATGAATATAGAAGGTTGGAAGTTTTCTCAGAAATTTGAGGGGAAAAGGGAGATGAAAAGAACTGTAGGTTTTATTTTTTCAGATTCACAATCCAGACTCCCCAAAGTAGGGGAAGGAACATGTACCAAGAAGGACCCAGTAGAGCCTGAAGTCAGGGACTGATCCAAGAGTGAGCTTCAAGAATATGTCAGCCCCTACCTCACCTAACTTGTCCGCGTGGATCAGCTGAGCTCCTACTATAAGTGGGAGTGCCTTAGGATGGACGAGTTCACCTTGAGACATATCAGTCGCCATTTAAAATAATTTCTAGGCCCGAGTACAGGTTACACTCTGAAGCCTCTGCTGTTAACCACAAGGATTTTTCCTAATGGTTTCAGTGTGGTGCAAAGTCAACCTAAAGCACAGAAAAAACCTGGTGTGAAGATTAACAGAAACAAAACTAAACTAAAACACATAAATTTAATATACATGCAAAGGAAACAAAAGTTTATCTATAATACTTAGAGTTAAGTGACAGATGACTTGGCCAGTTATCATTCAAAAAAATAAAATCTCTATCAAAATATAGACTATGTAAAGCAGCGACTAACAAATGCACAAGCCACAGCAGCTGCTGCACCTTCCACATGAACAAAGGCGACAAGGGCAAGAAAGCGCATAAGGAACCAAGCGCCACCCCATCCTGCTACCATCAGGAACTTAGGAAGGATAGAATAAGACTAAGGAACAGTTAAGTCAAATTTTACTCAAAGATCAGTTAACTAAAGAGGGAAGACTTTTGTTGTTACTGTTCTCAAAAGGGTCAGGAAAATTACTTGTAACCTTAACTCCATCTTCATTAAAGAAGTAATATAAGGGGCAAAAAAAACCCTACTGAAGAATGTAACATACTAAATGTCCCCAGACCCAGAGAAGCAAATTTAGACCATCACCTATGAAAACAAATGTATGCTTTTAAGACCTCATTTGCCATATTTTCAATGTAAATAAAACTAGCACAGAAGAACATAATTAAATATTCAAAGATAAAACCCAGGTCACTAAATTTTACCTGAACATTAACACACTCTGCCCCAGCCAAAATTGACCTGGCACTCAATGACACTTTATAATCCCTCTATGATATAAGAAAATGATTAGTTAAGTGTTTAGATCTCTGTGCTAATGAACATTAACATAAAGTTGGCAGACTAGTCTACTTTAAGTTCTAACCCTGTCTAAGAATTTAAGAGCATTCAGTTTGTAAGGTAATAGTCCCAAGCTAAAACAACTGGGACAAATCCAAAACATCCAAACATAGAGAATGCTTCCACATTTACAGGGCAAATCTTTTTTGGGAACACCAAGAGCAATACCAGACTTCTGAATTGTCAGTCAGCTGCAAGGAAAGCAGCTGAAAGAATTCAAGATAGTATTATTATGCACTAAAACTTATTATCAAGAGTAAATTAGAAATATCCATGAATATTTAAAAATTATCAGTTGTTATAAAAAATACTTAAATTACTCATACAGCAATTCACTTCCAACTATAAAATACAGAAATAAAGACAGTTGTTTTCTGATCTGTGAAAAGAGGGCCAAGTTGGGTTTAAAGGCATTATTTAGGTTTCTGAAACCTCAAACTTTATCTTGAAATAATTTCAATATAAAGATCTGCTCATTCAAATATCCACTAGCACTTAAATAGTAATATATTTGCCTTGACAATAAAAAAACCCCACAACCAAGCAAATCTGCTCTTTTATTATGTGAACACTATACAAGAAGTAAAACATCTCAATCAGGTTATTTTGGTAAAGTGATACTGCTAATGAATTCATCTTTCTTAACCCATGATAACACACTAGCTAGACTGAAAATGCTATGAAGTCAACAAAACCTTCAGGAGTCTCTGTTCATAGGGTTATCTTTAAAAAATATTTTCCCTGTAAACAAAATACTGAAAAAAGTATCAAAATCTTTCCAGTCAACTCTGTATTCACTAATTAATAAAAATTAAAAAAAAAACAGGTTAAAAAAGTCAGGGAAGCACAGGAAGCTGCCCTTAATGCCAAAGTGATAAGACTGACTAAAATCAAGGCAACAACAGGTACATGGTCCATAAAGACACCAGGTATCATTAACCTAAGGACAAGAATGACAGCTTAAATTAGATCAGATAAGTAGTATGACCAGCCCTGGCTGGGTGGCTCAGTTGTTTGGAATGTTGTCCTGTACACCAAGAAGTTGTGGGTTCGATTCCGAGTCAGGGTACATACCTAGGTTGTGGGTTCAATCCCCAGTCGAAGAATGCATGGGAGGCAAACAATCAATGTTTCTCTCTCTCTTTCTAAAAACCAGTAGAAACATATCTTTAGGTGAGGGTTTAAAAAAAAAAAAAGTATGCCCAGGTTGGAATAACCTCAGAAATAAGCACAGAGTGAGAAATAAGTTGGTTTGTCCCCCACCACCAATCTGACATTCTTCTACTTAAAACCTCCCAATTACCATCCCCCTTTTTTTACTAATCTCAAATGCTTTATGGATCACTGTGTTCTGTTGACCCCCAAAACACAGACCTTCTTGTGGCCGTTGGACTGTTCTCTGCTCATCCCTGTATCAGTGTTTGCACTTACTGTTCTAACCTGGAACACTCTTTTCCCAGACACTTCAATCAGGTTTCTACTCAATGTTATTCCCCCTCAGAAAGGCCTGCCATCCCTCTTATTCTTCTTCAGTTTTTCCATAGCATTTACCACCACCTAAAATTCAATATATGTCTGTTTACTTGCTTAGTATGTCTCTCCCCCAATGGAATGTAAGCACTACAAGGGCTAGGACTTAAATTCACCACTGTATTCCCAGCACCTGGAAGTATCCAAACATAGTGGGTGCTGGATAAATATTGGGAAAAAAAGTTGAATAAAAAATGATATCTGATAGTGCTTAATACTATACTCAATATATGTAAAGAACACTTAAGTTATCTGAGATAAATATTGAGAAACGTTTGCCTCAGCTCTGACTTTTCTTTGTAAAGGTTATTGAATTTAAAGCTTCAGTCTATAGTACTTTCTTTATCATAGGTTGCTTAATGAGTTACTTAGTAAGTTTGTTCTTTACAGAGCTAACAGTACTACATGAATGGTTAATTCCCTCTGCCCCAACACCACCATGTAGCTTTTGTTGCTGCACTTCTGAGTCATCAAATTTTTCGGTTGCCTCACTTGTTCCCTGTCAGAGATCTTTTCTAGCTGGTTCACTGCTGCATACTTGGTGCCTAAGAACTTATCAGGCATAGAATGTGTTTGAAAAGTATTTGTTCAATGAAAGAATAGATGAAACTTATTCAAGTTTTCACCTGGGTTACTCTATGTGCCAAAAACTATCTGAGTTTATCTTGGGTTTAAGTGGTCTGTTTAACTTAACGTTAGATTAACAATACAAAAATTTGCTTTTGTCAAGGGAAATGCAAATTGTCTTAATGCAGGCAATAAGCAAAAAAATTGTAAAAGTAAAAAGCCCAGAATTTCAGAGTTTTAGATTCCTTTCTCCATATTAAGAGAAAGCAACAAATAAGTAGGAGCTTAACAGTGTATTTCAGTTTACTGATTATCTTTGAAAATACGCATTTTAGGGAAAGTACTATTATTTCATATTTTACCACAAAAAGTATGCAATATTTTATGTCATCAGCTACACAATAAATAGATCAAAAATTTCCAATCTCAAGTCTTTCACTGTATTTAGACTTACTGGGTAATGTCGCAAAAAGCATGCCTGCAATTTGACTGCTGACACCTTTTTTTTCACTTTCACATTTAGATAAATCAGTAGGTACTTAGTGTCTATCTTGGAAAGAGATACTATGGACACTACATGGTCCTTCCTCAAAAGATAATCACAATCTAACTGGCTAAACAGGATTTTCATCTTTATAGAAAGAGCTCTGGACATGTCCTCTACAAAACTTCCCGCCCTCAATCTTCAAAGCCAAAAAAACCGCCTTTATAGTATTACTTCTACTTTGAAACGCAATACACTATACTTCTGAAAGGGCCAATAAAATTTTAAAAGCTCGTAATTTATGCCTATGCCATATTAAACAAAATCATTTTCTCAAATAAAATACGACAGCTTGACCGTAAGGTCCCAGGTGAATTCCTACACCTATTTCTCATCGGATTCTCACTTTTCAGTGTAATGGAAAACCAGGAAGCATAATAAACGGTATCTCCATGCGGAAGGGGCGGTGAAGTTCGCCTTGTCCAGTCCTCTGTGCTGGAGCCAATACTCCCTCAAAAAGGCTGAGTGACTCGTCCTCGGTCACAGACAGCGGTCAATTAGGTATCAAAACCCGGATCTGGGGCTCTCACTTCACCAATCCTGCACCATCTCTTTGCAAACGCTCACATTCACAAGATTAACTTTATTAATTACAGCCACATTGCCTATCGGTGCGGGGAGTAACAAGCTCTAGGAATGCCATACGGGAAAACGAAAGCTTAGGCCCGGGTCGCAGCGGTGCGGTGGCAGCGGCAGCAGCAGCAGCAGCGGTGGCGGCGCCTTTTCAGCAGCGCCAACAGCTCCGCAATACTCGCCCAGGCCGCACAGGCGAGCACGAAGGAAAAAACAGCAGAGACAAAGAGGCGGGGAGCGGCCGGTGCGGGGCGCGAGCGAAAGGCGGGGGAGAGCGGAGCCAAGATGAAGGCAGCGAGGCAAGTGACCG